TATTGTGTGTGTGCGCGTCATTCATTCATGTTGTAATGACGGCTGATGAAGGCCTGTGGGGAGTCTAGAGTTAGATTTGTTCACAAACTTATGCATAATGAATGATGATGTATGAATGATGCCGCGGGCAAGCCCCACAAATAGCGCCAAGCAACCTCACTCCATGGTTCAGCAGGCCACGGCTTGCCTTTTCACTCCATGGACTCCATGGCTCAGTCTCGCTCATGCTGCAGCTGTCTCCCAGCGGCAAAAGGCTACGCAATGACACCAAAAACGGCAATGTGACGTGTCTTCTAATTTAGAACATTGGGAACACATAACAAAAAATCAACTACCAGGAATCCTCGAACAGGTCACCACAGGACACGTTTAAGTCTTCAAAAGCCACCAAAGAAGACCTGTTGGAGGGGGGTGCTGGCATCTTTGCCTTGCCTTACTGCCATGAATCTACCAAATCCCAGCTGGAGCCCCCAGCTAGCCCAGCTGGAGCGGAGGAGACTCCACTAAGCCGCCGGTTGTGTTTCCAGAAGCTACCGGAAGGCTGGCACTTGGAAGGGTTGGACCATGAGTCGTAAAAATTGGCCGTCCTTCATGGGTCTGGATCTGTCATGGTGGACTTGTTTAAAGACTTTTCAGAGGACTAAATCCCAAAGAACTCCCAAGACGTGGATATCTTCAAGGTAAAAGGATGGAACATGATGGAGGATTCCGCACCAACTCTATCCATGTCAGGAACCCTCTTTTCAGCAGCAGCCAACACTGGAGCCAGAAACTCATCGGCGGGCAGCTTACGGCTTGGCATGGCTGGTGTGCATTCATGTGCATTCACTATAGACTCTCTACTTAGACTATTGAAGAACAACACGCAGGTTGCTGAGGTTCTAACTCGGTTCTTAGTACGGGTACCAACCCTATCAGTCCCTACTTAGACCGCCAGGTTGCTTAGACCACCGGTGCCAACTCGCAGATTCCATCTGCCGACTTGCTGGTTGTGGGACGGCGCGGGAGAACGCCGTTCCGCAGTGAGGCAGTCCATGTCACTCCTTTTTGCTCAAACGATCCATGGACACGCAGGATTGAGAAACATCAAGAAACCCATCAAGGCAAGGGCGCATTGCCACACCATGCCAGTCTCTCCAAAACGTCGAATTGGATCCCAAAAAGGACGCAGCTGCCCACCGTCGGAGACGCTCGGCATCCATGAGATGTCAAAATCTGCAGCGAATTCAGCCTTGGCTTGTGTTTTTTCCTTGGTGGGCCCAAGGACTTCAAGATGAAAAACGATCGAAATCGATGAAACACAGTGAAACAACATTTGGACACTTTGTTCAGTCTTACACTCTTAGACCGTCGTTTTGGGAAAGCGAGCCCACCTCGCATGATGTTTGCGACGCCCTTCCATATGTTTGTGGACCCTTAATTGTTTTGGGTCTAAAGGACTATGGTTCAAGAACTCTGCATGTAACATGAGCAGCAAAATCATCAACCGGGCGATGTTCCCTTCTCTCCATTTATAGTGTGTGTTCCTTTTTCTGGGACAAATGGCCCGTCCTCGTCAATGAATCCCCATGCTCAAAAGAAAGGTGCTTGAAGGGAGATTGTATTTACAACCTGGTCAACAACACACTGCTGTTGGGAATGTTCCTTCATATGTAGCTGGCACAAGGTTGTGGCTGCATGCTACTCATGCTATATGAATCAAAGGACAAGCAACCTTTAACCATCTAATCTGCAAGCAAATCATGCGCTTATGCTGCTGTCTCACTGGCTCGCTGTCAAGAACCAGTCAACAACCAGCTGTTCGACATGTCATTCAATCAATGGTTGTTCCCGCCCCTGAACACATTTCCTCATGCCCTCCATAACTCATATCGCAGGCTACACGTACGCGCGAGCTGCATCGTGCCCCCCTGCAACCGAAGGGCACCTCGCTGTGCCCAGTTTACAAGTCACGGTCCTGATGGAGAAGGAGAAAAGGAATGCGTGACATCGCATACAACAGGCTCGCACCGGTTGAGTCTTCCGCAAAGCTTGGAGGACCCCTGAGGCATCGAATGTGGCGCTTTGACCCGTACTTTAGTGTCTTCTTCAGGGGCTTCCTACTTAACCTTCCCAGAAAAACGATCCTCTGTTCCTTTCTGGACTGTGACAAACATGACAAACATTCAGAAATGCTCCTCGACAAAAGAACGACATTCTGTTCACCATGCATTCAATCTATGTCTCCTTGACTTCTTTGGGATGATTCTGGATCAAAGCTCTGGCTTCTTCAACTCTTCCTTGCTGGTGCGAAACTGTGTACATCTGCGCGCGAACCAAACATCGACAAATGCGATGTATCAAGCAGGGAAATGAACATCCACTCCTGAATTCGAACGAACCACCAGGTAAACATAGAGCCATGCCAATGCTGCCAAGGCTCACATTCGCCGGTACTTGGGCCCAAACGATGTCACCACACCTTTGAAGCCTTAACGGCTTCGCCGGCGTTCGAACGCCGCGTCACCGGTGAATCGCGGAACGGTCTGTGCATTGAAAAATACCAAATGTTGGACCAGGCGGAGGGCCAAAACGAGAATCAATGAAGGGGATCCCCTACCACCCTCTGAGGAACTCTCGTTCCGGACGTGGACGTGGAACAGGGCCACTAGAGAAAAAGAAGAACCACGTGGAAGTGGAACACCAACCTCTTCCACCTCTGTGGCGGGCCAGCGGCTTTGGTTTCCAGCGGCGTCTGTGTTCGTCAGCGTGGAACGGGACAGGGGGGCGAACTTTTGTGCCACTGTAAACGCGCAGGTGCGAAAGGAGCAGGTCGTTGGAACGATCACGGCAGGCACTGAAACGCGCAGTGTTGCGACAAGTCAAGTCCATTGACTTCATGAAGTCTAAAATGGCGTGAGCTGTGTTGAAAATCAATGAGATCAACAAATTTGAAGATCGTAGAACTCTTGTTGCACGTGAACTAAGCGACCAGCAAAAATACAATCTGCACCTTGCTGACGAGCGGCATAGCGAGGGGCCAACAAATTCGCAAATCATTGGCAACCCCTGAATTCTTCTGCCCATTCTATCTCTGCTTGGTTGCTTGTGGTATATCTTTCATGTCAATTCAGAGGTTGCCTGGCTATCACTTGGCCCTTGACGTCGGTCAAGATAACAAGTCGTTACCTCAGAACCAACGCGTTCTGTGCCCAGCCCGTCGCGCGCCGTGCGCAAACAGGAACGAACCACCTTGGAAATCCGTATGGCAAGTCCCTTGATTGTGAAATATAGAGTTCTGCAACAAGTGCGGGACATTTGATGAGGTGCACCCACTCTATGTTGCCCGTTACGACCTTCCATCTGCAACTGTTGCTTCGAGACGCAAAATACTACAAATCAGCAGCAAGGGCCCAAAACAAAGAACCACATCCACTTTAGCCAATCTTTTGGTTCACGAGGATCTTTTCATGTCTTTCTTTTTTGACAAGCACCACACTGTCGCCACACGATTGCCCCAGTTGTAAAGCTTTGCTCAGTAGAACCAATAAATGACCCGGGAGAAACTAAAGACAGCCGGAAACAAATCCGCCATGCAGTTGTATTGTTGAGGTGATAGGTTTTGTCTTTCATTTTCCAGTCGTGGCTCTTCAGCCTGGCGGAGAAAAACGGTCTCTGGTTGGTTGGCAGGTAGCGGAAGCAGAACCACGAGTCGCAGTGAAAAGAATTCTTGTAAACTGGCTGGTCGTGGCTCCTTGTGGAAGAACTCTTGGTGGGATTGAGCCGCCAAAGAGTGTGGTAATACAAGAACGGGGAGACCCAACCCAGATGGAAAGCATGGCTCAGGGCCAGCCACCCGAAAGCAGAGTGTTTCTGGGGTTGGTCTACACTGCCTAGAACAATCATGGAAGTGGATGGTAGTTCGACCCCGCCTGGAGTTGTAGGACACCTGGATCTTCAAATAGTGCAAATTGCCTTGCCTTTTGGCTGGCTTCATGGATGTAACACGAAAAAAACCAATGGCATCAAACAACAGCGGCCGCCATCCTTCCACCACTTCAATCAAGCGTCAAATTGACCACGGGCCCCTTTGGCCACGCCACATCCTAGACACTGACCTTCGGCCAATAGAGCGGCATGGTGATACTGGAGGAACCTTTGGTGATACTAGGGATCTACAAGGCCTAGGGATCTACATACCCTCTGAGAAGATCTGAGAAGGGTGATTGGAGACAGTGTTCTGCAGGCGCCAGGAGGGTCCAGTCGTACCCTTTGAGAAGGTACTTGGATCCCTATAGGGAAGAAGCTATGAGAAGAACAAAAGGGCTCAGGCACCCAAAACACATCAAACACGTCGAAGGAAAGCATGAATGCGGCTAGCCCCACAGCTGTTTTGTGGCCTTCAAAGAGTTTTCTTTCCAAGCCACATGAAAAACTTCAACTGTGTTTCACCTCACTTGAAACATATTGGTCAGTGGCTGAAACATCATCCACAAGTAAAGGGTTGAACATAAAATGATCCGAAAGCACCACCTACAGTAGGTACTCCAATTCATTTGGAGTCTCAGGTACTCCAAAGATGATGTTTGGGAAGCTCCCTGAGCATCAGCCACGGATCTGTAACCGTGCGTTTCCAGAAGCTCTGTGCCAACACTCTGGCTTACTACAAGCACCAATTGAACGGTCATCCTCTCGAATTTCCACCAGCTTCTGGGCAACCCCTACATGATCAAATAGGCTCTATATAATCGTCAAATTCAACACCGTCTCGGGTCTCGGCTCTTTTTGGATATACACTCCCGAAGACTAACATAGACCCTGACAATGGCCCTCTGGAAGATTGTCTTCCGCTTACACCAGTGGTTTTCAAGGTCCACACATGAGTTTTCTTCGTAGTGGCTTTGGATCACCGCAAGGCTCGTGCACCCACCTCTGCTGCACCTCGTGGTGTCTCGACCTGGTCTCTCTCCGTCTCTCTCTCCGCCCGGCCCAGGGACGACCTCCTCGGCGATCCTTCGGCTTCAGCCCGTCACGATCTGAGGGCGGGTCGAGAGGGTCGGAGGGTAGGGTCGGGATGAGGGGTGGAGAAGACACCTCTGCGAAATCAACACATGGGGCGGAGAGACACTCTACATGGGATGAGGGGGGGTGGGGACATGGGGCGGGAGACACGTTCCACATGTTGAGACCCCAAAAAAGGTTCGGCATGAGCAGAAGAACCCCGAAACCGCTCTCCCACCATCTTCCACCCAAATCAACCATGCTGGCTTTGAGGATCACTTGTGCGACAAGCTCCATCTTGCACCCCATCTCCCGGCAAATGTTTCAACATCTCGATTGGCAAGCCCAGCGGAACAGTTGGCGCCAGTTACAATAGCCCTTTGCACTGCAATGAGCGCATGGCTGCCATGATTTAGCATGCTGAAAAATACTCTCCCGCACAACCCTAACCTTCCTAGGCTCCCTCTAGAATCATCCTCAAGAATGCACACAAGTTTGAGCTCTTGGGCCCCTGGCTAGTCTCAGCAAAGGCCCCCCCTTGGTTAGGTTTACCATGGTTTACCTACAGTTAGTCCTACAGTTGTTTAACCAAGATCAAGCCCAGCCCCATGGCACACATACCTGGCCCGGCAAAAACCATGCTTTCTCGCCCAACAGCCTTCCAAGAAAGCACCTGGCAGTGTTCCAGCGATGGATGAATCGAGTCAGAGCCAGTGAATCCCAGCTTCGCACCATCTAAGGAACCAGGGTTTCTAGATCTACAGCTTCTTGCGACTACCAACTCTACTGCAACCCCGAATCCACTTGAGAAACAAGTGTTCTTTTTCCTTAAACGGAACTTGGAGTTTTGGGAGGCACTAGAATGCCAATCGGGCTCAACCACGTTTCAGTGCTTGGCTCGGAGACAGGCGCGAAAGGGTCTGTCCCAGGGTGACTGGGCGTTGAGGGGTCGAAAGTATCGCAATGGACCTTGGCTTTCGATGTTTTGCACTCCTGTTGACAATCTGGTGGGGTGTCAGTCCATATTCCACTGGAGGACTCTTGGAGGACACTTTGGAGGACCAAGAGTCAACCAGTTGGGAGTGTTGTCTATCCTTTTGGAGAAGAATTTGTCACAGTTGGTCTCATATGAATTCTCCTTGGCCCCTCAAGCAGTGAAAAGCACCTGAATCAGGTTTGGATAAAGGTGGCCCAGGAAGCGTGTGCAAGGGAAAACGTGCCTGGTCGGTTGTCACCTCATGTCCAACAACAGCAGCTGTTGCAAATATACTTACACTATTATGATGCAAATATGTCATATATATGTGTGAGTATCTTTGAATGCCACCAATGGCTCATGATTGGGTTCCGGGTGGGTTCGAAAACACCCCCAGCCCAAGGAGAACACAAAACAAAATCTACATTGAAAGCAAAACACATCACCTCTACGTGTAATTATGAACTTTTTGAACTTCTTCCTTGCCCTTCATGATTCCTGGGTACAAGGGGTAGTACCTCACAGCACTACTTCCTTCAAGCCAAGAGAACACGGAGAATTCGTTTTGCCTCCCCGGAGACACCAGTCCCGAGCCCCGACGGATCATTCATCGCCCGACCTTCGCTTTGGAACGATCGAGGACCGCCGCTCGGGCCGCTAAGACCTGGTGACGGGCGGAGGAAGCGTGCCCTGGCAGGGCAATAGGGTTTGAGGGGCCAATTGGGTCAATCTACTGGTCAATCATGGTCAATCTCGTATTCTACATACGAGGTCCGGCCTGAAAAAAACGAAGGCCAAAACAACACTTGGCACCAGCATGTGGAAATCGATGTCCGGATGAAGCATCATGCGCCTGGTTGCTCGGAGAGCAATTCATTTGATCAAGGTCAAGGTCTGAAGAATCCCCTCCGGCCCAAACGCTCAAAGGCTGCCCCCCTTCCAATTTCTGCCAAACTAGGACATGAACATGAAGCTTCAGCCATTTAACAAAATCATGAAGGAATGAAACTATAATGCTTAAATCAATTCAAGAGCCTTTCTGCAATGCTACAGGCGCTCTGCGGTCCTCAAAGCCTCCCCTTGCCTTGGCCCGCGCACGGAAGCCACGCTTGGTCTCCAGGAGGCCCCAGGCCACTAGCAGTGTGGCTAACCAACTGCAGGCGCTTCGTAGCTCGTGACCTTCGAGTGGATCCAGATGGGATGGGATCCAGTGGATGTCTTGGTGAGAAGGTTTGGAACACATATAGAGTTCAAGCGTTGGTTGCCCCCGAGCAAACAACCGTGTTCGTTCGTACGAGTAGTCCTTGTGGTGGACGGAGATTCAACAACTGCATCGCGCTATCTCGCACATGGACTCATCAATGAAAGGTGCCTCAAAAAGGATTCACTCAGTTGCGGCCTTCATGGAAAACGTCCTTTCTGCGAAGTGCCGTTGCACTGCGCAGCGATTGAATCCGATGAGTTCGAACATACTTGAACCTCCACAAGGGTTTTTTGTAGCAGTGACCCACTTGATGATAATGATTTGCTCAACTCACAGTAAAAAGAGGACCGTTGGACCACCTGCAGTTAGGGCAAAAGGATGGAACTGACTCTTCCAGCCCTACATCTTGATCATCTTGCAGTTTCCTCTGTGTGTCACTTCACAAGATAGCAAACTCCGACGTCCGATTTTGAGTCTCAGGAACTGCTGGTGGACGAAATCTCGCCATGAATGCGATGGTTACGAACAAACATGCATTTGATCAGCATCATGTAGAAGCGCAGGGCATCTAGCATCTGAAATGGCTTCGAAATAGGTGTCTTCAACAAGGACTATATGGCGTGATTTCGAGGAACAAGGTGGGTCGTCCGTATCTGGCTGCCAAAACTTGCAGCACTCCATCCTGACAAATCCATCTTTCATCAAAACTAATCCCGAGCATCTATTAAAAGACACTCCCCAACACAAAACACAATGTCCAAAACCCTAAATACGGTGTATATTTGTTTATAAATGACCGCCCTGGGGAAACGGTTACTAAACTACCAGCATGGTGGATTTTGGGGTTAGTCTTTTTTAAATGTTAACAAAGCAACCCTAACTGCCCACCTCTGTATGCCCTGTTTGTCCACCATGACACGCCGCGTTTACACCAGCAGGTTTTCCTTCCCCCAATGGCACGGACTCACGCAAACGCACTTGCCAAGGAGGCCGCGCAAACGGCATGGCACAGCGACATCACCTTTCAAAAGCTTTAGTTGTTAGTCAATTGAAGAATCATTATTGTAATAAAGGCTTTTGTCAAGGGAACAGGACCCTTCGATCTGGAGGTTTTTTCAATTTTTGATACGAGCTTAATAAAGGATTTTACATCCTGGGTGACTTTTTGGTTTTGAAGCTCTTCCCAGGTGTCTGCACGAAATCTGCACTTCAAGCTCCACAAAGCGCTGCGCCTGCCAGGAAATCTGCACTTCATATTCAATGATTATTCAAAAGGATCCTTCAGGGACACCGAGTTCAGGGACCTCCTACTAAAGGAAATGCACCCAAATTTTTGTTCTTAGGGGGGGGGGCGTGTTTTTGAATGGGTCGAGGGGATTAACAACCTGCGGGGATTAACAACCCTCAAAAGTTTTCACATGTGTTCGTTTCTCATACTCTGAGAGTTACTGTTTGTTTAGAGCCTCCACTCCACTTCTCAAATCCACCTTCAAAGCTTGTGTGTTTTGGCGCGTTTGGGTCAACACCAAGCCGCTGTCCGTGATGGGTCCATGGGACCGGAGCCTGGAAGAGGAGATGGATCCAGAGTGGAGTCCAGGTGGAGTGGAGTGGAGTGAAAACGAGTTAAGGCTGTTAAGGAGGGGACCGAGAGGATATGGAGATCGTTGGAGGATGGAGGAGGATGCTGGAGGGTTGTTCAGCACCTATTCCAAACAGAAAGGTCTTGGTGTGAGTGAGTAAGCTGCTTAATTGGCGCTTGCGGGTCCAGGACCTGGTGCTGGAACATGTTCTTGGAACATCTTGGAACCATGCACATGCTTCGGGCGTTCTCTCACAGCGTTGATATTTCTGTATTGATATTGCATGGACACAACCACACGCTACTCTTCCAATCAACAACTCAAGGGCATCACAAAACACAATTGATTCCCACTGCAGCAGCATCTACCGCATCTACCTGGAAGAAAATTCAAACCCGATCTTAGGATTCATCACCTGCTAGGGAGATCTTGAAAGCTCTTCAAGAGCTTTAGATTTGGATCCAACATGGGAGTGTTCACTTCCAACACGAGTCCACTCGAGTCGCGGCCAATCGATCCAAAACACGTCTCCTCCGGCCTGTGGCGTCCATCGATCCACACGTCCAATTCCCGGTGCATCAACTCTTGAACCTCATTTCTTTAAGGAAAAAGAACGGGAAGAAAGGGGACCCACATCTAAAGCGCGAAATAAGGAGTATATAACTCCATCAATCTCAAAAAAAAAACAAAAATGTTGGCAAGACTGGCAAAGTTTGTCACATCTTCGTAGTTAAAAGTTTGATCGGCAGTCTCGGCCAAAACAAGTTTTTCCGGCCAAAAGATGGCCGTTAATCCACAGCGCACCTTTCTCCACAGGATAACTCTCTTTATTTTTGGGTGTGTAATTCAGAGAAAGATCGGGTTCAAATATGAGATGGTTTTGCTGTATCCACCACTCAAAGGGGCCTGCAAATCAATGTGTTTTTGGCAGAAGGATTTCCGTTCTCAGCTCAACTCCTTTCTCAGGTCACGGTCGGACAAACGAGAAATGGCCTATTCATGCTTAGAGTAAACACTTGATGCCGCCGCAAGATACTATCTCATGGAAGACCCATCTCCAGCAAAAGCGTTCACTATCCAGCAAAACCACTCACATGTTTATGCCTCACCCCTAATTACTCCGAGATATTGTTCAGGGAAACCTCCGGGTAGATTGTATTTCTCCACATGGGTAAACGATATATCTTCTAACTTCGACCGTCCAAAAGCAAAAACACACCAAATGGGAAGCTGAAGGGCAGATCTCGAGATCTGAACACACCACCGGGCTCCCCTAAACAAACTCCTCCCTCCACTTCATGCATCCATTTGTCCATTTGAGTGCCCTTCTGGAAGGTCTGTCGTGCATTCTCCAGGCATTGGTTGTTCTTTTCCGTGAGCGCGAGGTTCAGCCTGAGCTCATGCAGATTCTACTCGGTTACATCTGATTATCCAGTCCGAAGTCACATGTTTCCTCTATCTCCTTTTTGGAAAAATATGAAGACAACCATGCTGACACCTTTTCGTAGAAGCCTTCAACATGTTGAAGATTGCCACCTCAACGAACAGGAGAAGCCCTGCTAAAAGCGCAGGGCCCAAATAGTCATATCACGTCATAGTCGTTTCCGTGCAAAGTTACACCATGTTTGGCATTGCTTGAGAAAGTTTCAGGGGAACCGACATTACTAGGGATTCAGCAATATTAGACACGCGCAAGTTGGAAGTCCACCTTTTTCCGAAAGCAAAATAGGAAGGTCTGCTAGTGCTGCAGGGGAGTAGTACCGAATTTTCCAAGGATTGAAACGAACATGAGCAGGTCATCCTGGGGTCATCTAGTATGGATGAATCCGATCAACACCTGAGTACTACCTTCAATCTGGGTGATGTGCCAATAGCAAACCTTCTACTCCCGCCCAGATTGCTACTGCCCGGAAAACTATGCACCATTTTCATCAAACCATCTTCAAAGTCTCAAGTGTTGCTCGGAAGTTCCATGGCTACCCAGTTGGTGTCAAAGGATGGGTTTCGAAGATCCACGCTACCTGTTACATACCGTGAGAAGTGGCTTCAAACATATTCAGACCGAACTTCTACCGAGGAGCCAAGAGCATGCGACCGCTGCATAAGCTGGCACCTCCTTCCTCGGTAAGGTCGGCATGGAAGGTCATGCAACAAAATGCAGGATTGGTGTTTTTTTATTGTTTTTTCTTCTTCGGGGTGTGATTGAAAAAGAGGATAAGGAAGAGAAGAGCTTTGCTGTTCCTCCTTGTCCATTCCTCTTCGTGACTTCTGCGTTCTGACTGCCGCTGCCTCTTTGCAATCTGCTGGCTTTGACGCCACTAGGCAACAAGATGCAACAAGTGCTGCTGAGCTGTCCGCCGCTTGGTAAGCAATGTCTCAGTGTGTATGCCCAACGGTTCAGTAGGATGATCCCATCGTTCCCGCCCAGGAGCGCAATAGCCAAGGGTCAGTATCCTGAGTGGGCTTGATCTCTATGCTGGAAGAGAGGTCAATGCTGGCTTGCATCTTTGAGTATATGCGGTTGCAAACCCGCATGCCAAATCGAGCTGCAGCACGGGAGACTTGATGTCTTGTGGCTGGCTTCGAGAGATACACCAAATGAATTGAGTCTGGGTTGCTCAATATCTGTGTCAAGCGGTCCTTCTGACAGGAATTTGAAGCTCTGTGGATCAAATATGAATCTATATACTGTAGCAGCTTCGAGTGGCTGGCTTGCGGTCCACCCCCAAAGAATGCTTCCTTTGCGAACAGCCCAATGCACAACCTGCGCTTTGTGTATCCCCTGCACTCGCAGTTAGCAATGATACTTCCAGTTGTGACAGTGGGCCAGGACGCCAATGCTTCTTGCCAGCCTTCTTTTGGGCAAAGGACGCTGACATGCTTGTCTTGCCATATTCAGTGCCCTGCAAGGCCGGACAGAAGAAGCTGGGGAAGCGAGATGCCTGGGGAAGCGAGATGAGCTCAAGCCAAGCAAATGGTGTGATTGCTCCCAGTACCTCCTCTTAGCTTTTGTGGACCTTGGGGGCTGGTGTTTTCCTAGATCCTGATCCTGAAGCCTGTTCCCCGAACAGGCAGTTCTTGGATGTGGTTCCACTGAGGCTGCCTCCTCAGGGTGTGGAATTGATGAAGAAAATGATGTGGTGGTGCTGCTGCTGCTGCTTTTGATGCACCGCTGAATCTTCACCCTGTGAAGCCTTGAACCTTTTCTGGGCATAAGCCACAAAAACATCCAGTAGCTTCCTCTTCCTGGTTCCTTTGCCCTTGGCCTTCCCTTTACCTTGTCCTTTGCCAACCTTCGGCTCCACCCTTCTCCCCTTGGCCTGTGCCTATCCTCCTTTTTGGTTCATCCAAAGGGTTGTCATTGTCAATAATGCCCTTCCTCTTCAGCCTGGCTGTCCTTCTCACTGCCTGCATGTCCTTCAAGTCTGCAGCATGGCCATCCTCATGACAAAGGTCACTCAGAATTTCACTCATTTCAGAGTCTATTATCATCTTCTTTGGCTTCCTTCTTCAATGGTGATTGGACCTGGTCCATGAGGTCTTCTGGAACCATCATATTAAGGAACAAACCTTCCACATCCGTATATATATATATATACAGTATACACCCTGAACTGTGATCGGACAAAGAGGGTTGTGCGTATCCTGCATGCGTTGCGCCGGTCCGTCAGCACGAGTTGTGCACGATCCATCCCAGGAAAGATCTCCAAAGAAGACACACAATGTCTTCATTGCTTTGCAACCCTTGTTTCTTGAACTCTTCCCGATTCCTTCTCATCCCGCTGTTCGCGAGAATGCATGTCCTTTTTGAAACCTAGTTTGCAAGCTTCTTTTGAGACCATTAGCTGAGCCTCTAAAAGGATTAGGATTTGGTGCCCAAAGCAAGATGATCATGCACCGCACCCCCCCCCCAAAAAAAAAAAAAAACGAAGAAGTTGCCAAAGCGTGTTCAAGCTTGCTCGTGTAGAAGGTCTCAAACTTCAACACAAAGAGGACTTTTCTGGGGGAATGATACGCTCCAGAACGCGATGGACTCGGCAACCAACACATGTACAGTATCGTATAGTCCATATAGTTATTTAATGTTATTTATAGTCCATATAGTTCATATAGTCCGTAAGCCAATTCCTATCATTTAGTCATATAGTTATATATCAAGCCCCCATGGTACGACAAAGAGTTTGTTTTTGACTCCGGTTCCCATGAGAGCTCTAACAGAAAGCATCTCAATCCTTCCACTGTTCCGCTTGGTCACAGATGGGGGAACAGTTCAAGAAACTCATCAAAATGTGAGCTCTACATCAAGCCAGGCCCAAGTGATTTCTCTGGGTATGAGACCCATGAGCTCTCGAAAGGGTCCACGCCTCACGTGGGGTTCTTACGTTCCTCCAGTGCCCAGACACGGTGGCGGCATCTTCTCCTGCAAGGCGATGGCCTGGACAGGGCCGAACACCGGCCCTAGGGGTGTCGCTGGTTCACGGCAATGCTGCAGGGATGATCCAGGGAGAACGCCTTGACACTTTAGTTGATCCTTTTTTTTGAGGGGCACTAGCTGCTAGCTATAGACTTTTTGGTAAAAAAAACCTATGGTGTTCTTCTGTGTGTGTGGGGAATGGGAGGCTGTTGGACTTTTGGGGCTACTACTGTGTGTGAGTCTGTGTGTGTTCTCCCTTACAGAAATCAAAGATCTGTAGAGTTCACAAAGAGATTCATCTGTCGAACATATATAGATAGGCAATGGAGGTTGGACCAATCTTCAACTGAGAATAGGAGTCGAAAAGCACCACAGAATTTGCCGACACTCAAAGGATTTTCATCGGCAAAGCACATCCTCCAAAAATCGGTTTTCAGGAAGAATTATGGCCTGTGAGATGAACGGACGGGTTTTAAGGTTGAAAAAAACATTCTTGTGGCTACACCCTGGAAGAGACCTAGATGGAATCTGAAAACCACGCCCGGTGTGTAGAGGAAAATCGTCTTCCAAATGTTAATTTTCAGGTTCCATATTAGTTTTCGGGGGTGTATACTTCACCTTCTGATTCTTGGTTTGATGATGGGCGATCATCGGATACAAAGTCCCCCATCCAAGGGATCAAGGGATCTTGGGTGTGACAACGATCATTCTCCACAAAAGTGGGCACAGGATGTCCTGTGGTGCTCAGATTGTGCTTGTGGGCTTGGAAGGCTTTGAGAAGCAGGAGCGATACGAAGAACAGGACCATTTCACCCCGGTGGATTGGGCCATCTTCATGATGAGTCTTGCAATGCTCGCGGCTTGGGTCGTGCTGCTCTTCCAGCAGTCCCCTACAAATATCTCTTCATGTCAAAGTGTACGTTAAACAAAAATCCTTCTTCAGCACGATTCTTCACAAACTCGTCACACCCACACACACCAATTCAATAAGTTCTTCTTCAGACTTCCATCCGCTTCCCTCACTTTCTCAATCACTGCCCCAAAAGGTACGCCAATTCGGCACTTCTGTCTCCGCCCCCCACCGTGCCCGGGCGCCCAGGCGGCGCGGTAGACTTGGGTGGCACCATCCCAGCGGTGTTGCCGGCGCAGCTCCACCGCTCTGTAGTGCAACCTGCTCCGAGCCAAGAGTTGAAAGCAACCCAAGGAAAGAACTACCTGCCACTCTACCTGCCCCAAGGGGGGCCGCACCCGTAGGTCATAGGTAGAATCTCTTCGTCAATCTCTGCACCAAAGTCCGGCCCACGGCATTTACCGCACCAAAGTGAGAATCAGAATCAGTGACACAGCATTTACTGCAGCTACCGCGCTTTGTTCAAAAAAACCCTTCAAAGGACTATGATCAGCATTTGGTCCTCATTTCTGTAGAACACTTGCCACATACTCCGTAGGTGTCGCAGTTCACATCCAATACGTTCTGCTGATCGCTCTGCTCCTTCGGATCTCTCACACAGTCCCTGCCCTATCCCACCACGCAGCGCTCGGCAGCACAGAGAGTATGCTTGTTGCAAAAAGGACGTCTGGCCCCCGCCCAGCCAAATCCCAGCTGCCAAGCCTGGCTAAGCGTTGGAAGGAGGAGCTCTTCTGACCACCCACCTGCGAGAGCTTTTGGCGCAAGCGCCATCCGAGGAGCCTTTCTGATACAGGGGCCAAAAGGGGGTAGGTCCGTTCATATCCTAAGATCTGTGAGGTTGATGTTCGCGATGCCGCTAAACAAACTCCATTAATCCAGGTTTCTGCTCTGCTTCCACTCTCCGGACGTTACCAACTTCTCAAAAGCCCGTCACGCTGTCATGGTGTAGTTGCGAAGTCCATCCCAAGTGCATGAGGGAGGGCCCTCTTGGAGCTGAAGAATGAACACAGTTGTGTTCTTGATATGGCTTGTCACTATCATCCTCCCCTCCAAAACGGACACATGCAGCAAATCTGCTGCTTTAAACAGTTTTGCGTCTTCTTCTTCGCCAAATCATCTCCCCAAACCATCTCTGCATTTCATGATTCCCTGCAACTCGCTCGGGAGCCGCAGTTCCCGGCAGTGTGGGAGGTGCCGCCTGGGCGGCACCCTTCAATGCCGCGGTATAGTATCCCATGGCAGCATCCTCTCGAGGGCCTCAGCTCCAGAGTTGGAGTCCGTTTCGGCGGATTTCCAGTTGGGCAAGCGGTAAGTGTAGAGAAAACACCATGGATGCCAAGAGAGTTTCTTTTCCACATGAGCAACGGTACCAGTAATGGCTGGCCTACACAGCCTACTGAGCACCTGGGTGATTCCTGACCCCTCAGATTTCAGTGGACCGTGGCTCTGGAACGATTGAAGAGCTGGGCAAAGCGCCAGAAGAGCGCCTGAAGGCTCGACACTGGCGATGTTCGAGAGACGTGCTTCTCAGGACTGCCACCGAAAACAGACACATACCAGGAGTCACAAGACGGGGTGGTTTTTAGCCCCTAAGTGAGTGGATGTTCTGGGCACCCCTATTATGTAATAGGCACCCCTTTTGTGACTCCTGGTGTATAATCCTTTGGACAATGCACGTTTTTCCGCAACCTGATGCAAGTTTGGGTAAGGATTGAAGTTGGAACGACCCAAAACCTCGATGAAAACGACCAAACGGTCCGGAAAGGCCCACCTTTCGCACCTTTGCACCACCGCACTCGTTGAAGAATCCATCAGTCCATCAGAAATACCTCCCTGATAGCGCACAGGTTGGGGGGTGCTTTCACCCCTAGGTGGATCGATTCATGATGTCACATGCCCTTCATCATAGTACTTCCACTTGATTTAAAAGAAAAGAACTCGCCTTGTCCGGCCGCTGCCCCAAAAAGCCGCCGCGTGCGCCAGCTCGCTCGGCCAAGGCGCTGGTCACCCAAGCACGCAGGTCGTCACCTGCTTCGAAGCGCAGGTCGTCGGCTGGTAGCGGAGCTGTAGGAAAGTGAATTCGAAGTAACTGGTCAGATTCGTCAGGGACCAGTGGCGGGTGAACAGTAGCTGAAACTGACGGCATCGCGCCAGTCTGACGAAGTAGGCCCCTCATCAAACACTTGAGGTGCTTTGGACAGGACGAGCGCCCCAAAATGCTCATGTCTCGCCGGGGTTTGAGCCACACCCTGAGCGGGCTACAAGGCACCGGGCTACAACTCATCAACCATGAATTTCGGGCCAGTGCTCCACTTGGAGAATTGACTTCAGTACACGACCATCTCTACTAAAAAGCACCTCTATAACGCCTAATTATAAGTGATTCGTAGTGACACCCCGCGTATTTTTCGTTTTAATATGCTTTTGGGCACCCAGGTGACGGTGCTAAGTAAATCTGTTGTGACCAGCTTCTTCAGTACGTGACCGAACTTGAAGGTTTTTTTTGATGACCCTGTTGGAGGCTTGTTCGTGTCCGAACCAACCAGGTGATCAAGTTCGGTCACCTTGAAGAACCAGGTGACTTTGTTGGTGTTTTTACTTCTCATGCAGGGACTCGGCCACGTCCGGTCCATGTCACCCTCCGGTGCCACGTCCGGTCCACGCCTTTCAGAGCCACCAAGGCAAGAAGCGCCATAAGCACTGGCCTGGACACAGGTCCACGTTCCCTCAAGCCTCCAAAACCTCGAAATACCAATAGAATTGCAATAAACATATACAAAATACCTTACCAATCGAAATTACACAACATATAGTCTTAGTGTTTGTTTTTTTTTATATTAAAGAAAACACTAACAACTTGTTGGGTGTCAAATCCTCAATGCATGCCACTCACGAAAGAACGCCATCAATCAGTGGGGGGGTCCATGCCGTCATATGCCGTCCATGAAAACCCAGCAATTCTTCAAGCTTGCCTCTGCGATGGGTGTCCGAAACCAGTAGATCATTATGATCTTCTTCTACGACATGGGCACCCATGTTCACCATCCGTCCTTGGCATTGGATATGCTCGACTCCAGGAAGTTGCACCGTCACAAAACGAACTTAGTCATTGTCATATTAGTCCCGGGCTCCAAGTACCTTCTCAGAAGGTGTTTGGGGTGGGTTCAGGTCCAGATACCTTCTGAGGAGGTGCGACTGGAGCCCTATAGGGAGTAGTCCTTCTGTTATTTCTTTATCGACCTGGTCATTGTCTCCGTCCGTTCTCGGCATCTCTTTGGGCCGCAAGCCGCGAAGTCCGTTCTCATGCTCGCCGGTGACCAACAAACATCGAAGAGTTCTCAAACCCGTCGCAGTCGGTGGCAGCTTTGTCTCCTTCTTCACAACCCCGAGAAAATGGCTCACCTCGCTCCCATGGTGTGTCTGCAACGAGATGGACACGGCACCCCAAAGCGCTTGAGAAAGAAGGCCGAAGCGAGGCAAAAGGTCTTACAAAGGATGAGTGTATTTTTCGTTGTGCACAAGTCCACCACTTGGCCACAGTGGTTGCTTAGTTGCTTCGGGTGGCAACACATATACATATCACCTCTTTGGTGAAGGTTCTTTCTGAACGCTTCACCGGGATGCTTCAGTCGATTCACTCCAAGTCCCAATGGATGAGGGAACTCAAAGCTCACCCGTTTCGGCCACGGCCAGGGCTGGTGGAACGTCGTAAGGACTCCGTCGAAACAGGTGCTGCAGGTGATCAAGGCGCTCTCCCTGAAAGTCAGGGAGAGCTTGCACAGCCAATTCCAAGGGTGAGGAACCAGGCCCATTCAAATTCAGTTGCAAATGATATAAGCATTGGGTGAATCCCATTCCCTGCCGCAGTGGATGATGATGGTTAGTATAGGCCTTTCCCAATCATAGTGAAATTCATTAAACGACTGTTGCAGGTCATGGGGAACACACTAAATTTTAGGCCCAGGCATGATGTTGATACATTGGCTTGAATATATACGTACTGTATATGGTTTATGGTTGTATATGAATATGTATAATTGATTATAATTGAATCTCATCGGAACTTCCGCTTTCAACCCTAGAGTTGCAGAGGGGGACAGCTCTTTGGAAGCGACATGGTCATGTTTGGTGACTGTGGGAAGGCGAAAACCTTTCTCCAACATCAGCCGTGCATCTCAGCTTCTTTTCGTCTCTGTCCGCGGTACCCGGCGATGGAGGGCGACCTAAGCCGAACAACGAAGGTCGCAAGGGTCTCGGATGGTTCTTCGCTGGCTTTGTGAGAAAATCCTGCACAACTCTAGGCAGCAAACGCCGGATGAATGGTCCAAACGCATTGCTCCAAATGGGAACACCCATGTCGAATCCATGTCATGTCCCCTAGAGTGACACACATGGACACTGATCAGCTTCCACCTCCCCAACATCCTGGCTTCATGCTTATCCAAACATCAAACATACCCAAATAGGCAGTATTGGTGATCTTGTGGTCTTACAGCAGCGCCAATTCTGCCAGCGACCGACCTCTACTTCTTTCAGAAATAATAGCCGTCCAGTCCATGTTCCATGTCACCATTGAAACCTCCCCTACACCCAACCTCAATGTTGTCGCATTAAGTTCGGTCTTGGCAGCCTCCAGGAGAAAAACATAGAAAAACACAGCCGTTCATGTCCGTCAATATCAGCAACATTGACATCGGGCGATGTTTTTTCTGACCGTTATGACCCTTTACTTGAAGGCTGGCGTGGCTCCTGAGAACACACCAAGGCAGCGAGAAGAAACATCGCCCTGCGAAACAACGAAGAACCTGCGAACCCCCGGGGGTTTGGAGAACGTCACTTGCAGTTCAGAACGCGTTCGTCTTCCAGCTACCTCGAACATTGGCAAAGACACCCTTCAATACCAAAGGAATTGCTCCCTGATTCATTCAATTTAAGGAAGAAAACAACGCACAAACACACACGCTTCGCAGCACCTTTCTCCGCGCTCTCATGGCACAGAAGCGAAACCCACTCTGCTCCTTCGAAAGCTCGGTCGCCACAGGGTCAAGACGCCAGCGGACGAAACACATAGGACTTCTCTGATGAATCAAAACGCCCAACCCCACCTCCGATTTGGATTGAACTGATTGAACCACCTCGTCATATGAAAGGTTTGTCAACGGTCTGCATATGTCTTCATTAAGAATCCAGTTTGGTTGAACATGTGGCACACCAACTTGCTGCTGAGCTGCAAGTGACAAGGACAGTAGGTCAAACCATGCTCATTTACTGTTCCCTGAAGCTCCAAACAAAACACAGAAGCACACCGCAGAAGTAGAAAACATCACCTTGGAGAGAGACATCTTGTTTCCTCTGGTGACTTCTTTAGATGAGACCCTCAGCCTATTCTGACTTGGAGAATTCTCTCCGTTGAACACTCTTGAGGTTCGGTTTAGCCAGGTCATCCGAAACCATATTTCACTCCAAACCTGCTGTGGTTGGATGGGTCAGCTGACTTGTGGATTCTTTTGATGATGTGCGATATCCCACCCTTTTCGCACAAATCCATCACGTGAGAAACAAAGTAGTCGGGTGGTGTCAAGCCTATGTATGTTTGTCTGCGGCACTGCTTCCCAGCTATCTTGCTCACTTACTCCACCCAAGTTGTTGTGGCTCCGTCTACCCCCGGAGGACAGAGTCATCCAAGACATTGAGGTCGCTCAGCCGATGCCTCTGAGAACACTTGCATACAAGCCAAATAGCAAAGCATTGGCTGACACACCTGAAACCTACCCAGCAGGAGGCTTGCTTCAAAGTGACTTCTCAATATATAAGTTAGCTCCCCAAAGAGTTTGATTGAAAAGGCTCACAGGTCTGTAACAATGAATTTGCCCAATACATTAGCCCATAGAGATCCAAAGAGGTCTTGAGACATGCGAATGCAACAGCCACTTTGAAGCACTAACCAACCGCAACGGAGAGCGGTTGTTGGCCAATAAAATGGGCCAGCCGGCCATGGCCCACGCCGGCCATGGCCACCAAAACCAACAAAATTTGGATTTACTGACCTGGGCACCAGGACATAGACATGACATCGGTTCCCCAAAACAGCGGGCGTACCAAATGTTGCCAGTGCTGGGGCACCAAATGAACAGGTCTTCTTAAGCCCAGTTTTTTTCAGCGTGCCGCGGCAGGGTCCCAATGTGGGGCTGTTTTTCGGTGCTATCAACGACCCCTCTCATATCTATAGAAAACAAACATGGCAATGTGGCGGTTGTTCACACAATCGGATGTGATTCGGCTCGGGGCTGTCAATCGGCTAGGATCGGATGTTATAACAGGTTCCGCTTGGAGACTGCTGCATATGTTCTCTCTCTCTCTCTCTCTCTGTGAAATCATTTATCAACTCTTTACATGGAGTGAACTCACCTATTTGATCTTTGGATTTCGTGGTCTTCCAGCATCAGGGCCCTCCCAAACGAAAAGAGCGAGATCTTAGTTATATACTTACAGTGTTTTCAGACCAATGTCTGAAACAAATGGGGGTCCACGAAACCACCCAACTTGGAAGCCTCCGTTCGTGCCATCTCAATCCACCATAAGTGTTCCAACCCTGTGGGCTCGTCAACGCAGGAGACCTGAGTTTGGTCAAGAGAGCGGTAGGAGTTGGTTGGCCACTTGGCAGTTGACCCTATGACCCTATGATCTCCTATGATCAGCAAGTGGTCAGCAAATCCATTCCGCGCCTTCTGCACATCCCTTCGGGAGTGGTGGCAGCTAGTGGCAGCTAGATCTGGAGGGCGGAACAAGGCTGCGGAACAAGCACTGGAGGATGTGTCTGGGAGTCTGGGACTGGACTAGGAGCTTGGTCCTTGATATCCAAAGCAGGTAGAGATCCACCCGTTGATGGGTTCATTTTGTGGAGGTCAGCAATGAACGAATTATCCAGCTATCAGCAGCTGAGAGGTCACTGGCCACTACCGCCATTCTCTTTCCTATGTAGAATGCTTAGCATCATCAAGAGAAATATACCAAAAGTAGATTAGTAGAAACACTTCGAACCCTCACCAGAATCTGTCCACTTGAGAGGCCATCCCCACATCTACTTCCATTCACCATCTACTTCCACGTCTGATGAGCTGCAGGATGAAACAACTGCAAGGACACCAGGTTTACTACCCCCTTGTTGCAGTCATGTAGATGGCCCGGTTCCGATGCTCGATGCTCGCCTAGCTAGCAGCTAGCAGAGAGCTGAGCTCGGCTTTTCGAGGATTGATGGATCTAGAGAACGCATGCCTCTTCGCAAAGAAGTCTGACACTACCAGCAGAGGTTGAAGGACCCGAACTAGACTATCCCCTAGGTACCCCAGGCTACGGGTCCTATAAGGTCACTTAACCTCTCTTGGTACCTAAGGGGATTTTACATGAGGAGCATCATCATGGACCAACTGAGAAGCTGAACTCCTAAAGAGCATTTGCACCAAAATCCCCAAAACACCTGCTACCACACAAGGCCCATTGGCACAAGAGTACGATGGGGAAAAGGTTGCTGATTTCAACAAGCACCCCAAATCCGTCGAAAAGTCTCGATAGATGTCTCCCAGCAAACAGGTGGTTTTCCACTTCCATGTTAGTTCCAGGTCCATATAAACCACCCAACTCGGGGGCCTCCTTGTACGATCGAACCCCTAAACCCACTGTCAAATCAGCTCACCCCGTCGTTTTCGCACCAAATCAGCACTTCAAAAAAGACACATGCTCCGCTCCCCAGGGAGTAAACCTTGCTCGCTGCGCTCACCCGTGCACGCAGCCACCCTGCGCCAACATGTGAGCCACCGGACCCCACTGAGCCCTAGGTCCAGCCAGATAGCTCGCGCCGCCTGCGCCGTGCCACATGGGCGATAGCCATGGCATGGCGGCGATTGGGGGCAAAGGGAGACCAGTGTGTCAATGTGCAAAGGGAGGCCAGGAATCTCTCAACAGGAGGACCTCATATCATGGCCCTTTTGCCTCAATGGCCTTCTTTTGCACTTGAAGGCCACGAATGTTCGTCGACAGGGGAAAAAATCAATATCAAAGAAGCCGAAGAATACTAACTGACCATCGGGCATCTACTGGGTGTCTTCATCTGAGTCTCTGGATGCAAACACTCAGCTCCCTGTTCCGGCCCGCAGCTGCCTTGAGGCCTCCTCAGATGTTGTTGGCAAGCAGAATCACGACCAAGAATCAACTATCTGAGGGACCTTCTGAGATGCATTTTCTCTTTCCGCAGTTTCCACAATAAATCATTCCGACACAGGACTCTTTGCCTTTGTATTTTCCCATTGATGTACACTGACACCTGACGTTATACCGAGCTACATGCCGCGGAGCCTTGTCTCCTCCCCCATGCATGTGCAATGAAGCTTGCAGCCAAGCATCGTCCTGGTCTGCGGGGCATCAAAGACCATGCGCTGCGGACCGCGCTGGGATGCTGCGATGGCCTCACAGCTGCTTTCATCCTCGTTTCGAATCGAAACTGCCAAGTCAGCAACTGACATCACTCTGGGGCGGATAAAACCTTGTTTGCAAAAAGATTGCTTTGGTTTTTGGGCATCCTTCTGGACAAAGTCTGACCCACACAGCGTCCAAAGGGTAATGAATTAATTGGTTTGCGGGAACATCTGCAGGAAACCCCTGTGTTCATCCCCAAGACTATGGCTTTCCTGTAGACGTTCCCTTAAACGAATTCTTGAACAAAGTATTGGAACAACCAGTTGTTTCCGATTGTTTTGGTTCCCAGGCAGTTATCAAAGACCCAAGAAATGAAGAGTTTCCCTGGAGATCGAATTGATCTTGGCACACACATACACACTGCTCGCAAGTGGCCTGGTAAACACATTTTTTTACATCTCATACCTCCTCTAGTCCTCCCAACGAAATGAAGATGATCAGAGACGATGGATCCTGAAACGAAACCACCATGGCCTGCATGTCAGTCCAAAGACTTCAAACCTTCAAAATTGCTCAACACAATCACACAACACCATCCAAATAACCCAACACCCAAGCAAGACCTCCAAACTTGTCTTACCCAAGACCTCCAACACAACACCTTCCGAATGTTTCCTTCATGTTCTTCCGGCCTTTCCTTTGGACCACATCTGTTTCGGACAGCCCTTCCGTTCTTCCTGGCCTGCCCTCCCAATGCTGGAAGCGAGGCCGATTTGGCCTTCGGAGGGGGGAGTCAGCCGACACGTGTGCTGGAGAAGCACGGAACAAAGCGACGGTCCACGCGCTACAAGGGGAAAGGATGACAACAAGAACTCTAAGAAATGAGTGAGAACTAACATTGACAAAGGCCAGAAACACCACCGTGACCGCAGGTGTACACACATAATAAATTATATATGTTATATATACGTAGAAAACACAAAACACTGGTATACAAACACAATCACCAACATGACTGAGGCATGATCTTGACACCTTTTTCTGCTATGCCTGCCTATCGGCTCAGACTGGGGGACAAGGCTCGTGAGGTTGGATGAGATACTATCCCTACGCCTGGCACTTTCTGAAGCACAAGATGTTTCGAAAAGAAACTCCGCCGTAGACTGGGGGACGTCCGGACTCCGCCGTCCTCCTCGACGGGCGGAAGACGAACGAGCCACGTCTGAAGGCCGGCGGATAGCAGCGGGTGAACAGAACTCAACGAAGGCATGCACGAAATCAAGTATACCCCCCCATCGAACCTAGAGTCGGCTGCATGGTCACCACCTGTCCGCTGGACGCCCTTTGCGCGGCCCGAGATCCCGCGGGCGTTGGACTCCGGGATCCCGCACTGGACGTGCGGATGCAGGTTCCGGAGCTGGTCGCCTGTGAAGATCAGGAGGGGAAACTTTTGATCCGGAAATCCAATGAAATCAGTTAAATCATGTCGATTCAGGAGATGGTGTGAGGATTTGTGCTTAGGCACGTGCTGCATAATTAGTTGGATATTATATGATACACATTGTATGGGGCATGTGTCTGCGAGGATTTTGGAAAGGCGCTCCTTGTTTACGACTAAGAGCCTCCCTCTAGTTCAGACAATAGCAACCCACAGGCTTGGAACATCATTTTGATTATATACTGACTCCTACAGGTTGCTGATTCTGGACTGGGGCGCAATTTAGATGCAAGTTTCAACAATATTGAAGCACCTGAGCAACTCGGAGGCATTGGATGCATCATGATGCATCCAAGTGCTGGCATCCTACCACCAAATGCCTGAAGTAGAGCAACCAACAGTAGGACGCCGGGCTGGATGCCCTAGGAGAACCATCCAAGTGTGTGATATCCTGCACATCCTGAACCACACCGGCCAAAATTGGCTTACAGTAGGTGAGTCTGATCCAGCGCTGCTGGTTTAAGACATCGCTGCAAGACATCCGTTCCTTTTTCACTCAGAATTCCCATACAAGCGTGTCTCTTTACAGCCATCTAGAGGTAAAGCAACTTGCTGCCCAGCATGGCTGGGCATGATCTGCACCTTGGAAGTGCTGAGGCAAGGCAGGGCGCTGTTTTTCATCAACATTCTATCCACGAAAAGGCTCCTATCAGCCTATCAGCAAAATTGTTGTTGGGTGGAGGAGGAAGTCACACAAGTGGCTTCACTGTGCTAGAGCTGCTAGGTGTCGCAAGTGATTTATCTCAACATAGACCTGCTACAAGTTCCCCATCACTTCATAACTGTTTGCTCAAATCCATTAGCGCTGCCGTGTACATCTGTCTGTTTCAGGGAGGTAAACAAATGACCGTCATGGATGGGCGTCGTGGAGTATGTTGACGACGAGTTGAGGCAATTACAAGGAACAACCACTGATTCATGGCTAAATCCGCAACGGACACCACACATATGGAACAAATAGGAGGATTTCACGCAAAAAAACATCGACCGCATGTGTCTTCACAACACCCCGAGTTGTGATGACACGCAACAAATCCTTCGTTCTTGGGACATTTGAAGTGTCCACTTGAGCACCGAGATTGAGGTCGCGAAAAGCCACTCCCAAGCTTTCCTCCGCCCCCCCATTTGCTCCAAGGAGCCCTCCCCATTTACTCCGCGGCCTTCCTTCATTGCATCGAGGGTGGCGCTTTCTGAGGCACTGCCTTCCCTTCGAGCCCCGGTGGTGGTGCCGTGGGATTGAAGCTGTCCGGATTGGCGCCCACAGGCACCGCCTTCACGGGAGGTGCTTTAGGAGGCGCCTTGGGCGCCGGATAGTTCCTCGGGCGCGACGGATCGCTGAAGGGTCGAAGGGTCGGAAGAACACCGAAGCTGCTGGTGAAATGGGATGTATATAGGATGTTCAAGTTATAAGGTCAGTTCTTAGAATGAATGGCACTTGCATGCATTTGCCGTTCATGAAGTGTGGTTCACTTTGGAAGTTATATTTGTCCTAATTATCAAGTATATAGCCTTTGATGTCAAAGGAGGTGCAACTCATCTTGCAATGCAGGATGTTCATGGAAATCAAGTTGCAGGGTGTTCTCTTGAAGGATTTTCCGACTGAAGGGCATGTGATCAGTGTATCTGGACTGGCACTATCAACGAGAACTTGTCATCAAATTTGCTAATCATCTGGCTCAAGAGGAACAATGAGGAAGATTATAAATTATATGTATATATATGGTACAAAAAGGTAGGTCTTGGGGGGGAGGGGTAGCATATATTAAATAAATATATATATATATATATATGTACCTGGTTCTTCAAAGTGACCTTTTGATAACCTGGTTGTTTCGGTCACTTTAAGCCTCCAACAGGGTCACTGGATGGAACCTTCAAAAGGTCACGTACTGAAGAAGCTGGTGTTAGCCTGGACAGCCTGGATAGTGCTTCTGCCTTTTCTCATTTCATCCGAACTCCGAAAGGTTGGACCACTCGAGCGCAGCTTTGCCGCTCCACCCAAGGCGCGGCGGAGGCTTCACGGTGAGCGATCCACCCTGAGACTCTTCCTTCTTGGCCTCGGGTCACTGGGTGGATGGAATGGTGGGGTGTCAAGGATCGGATTCTCATGGCTTGACCGACTCTAGAGGTATACCTCTCTCTGCTTGCCAAGAGTCTTTCTCTGCGGCCATTCTTTCTTTCCACCTGTCGAAGGTGTACTCTACCTGACCGCGTGAAAAACGCACCCCGCGCTCCGGCGGGCGAGACCAGGACGGCACCCGGCGGACCTGGTCCGGTCTGCCAAAGAGGAAAGACTAGGAGGGCTCCCGAGGAGAGATAGCAATTGTGAGGGAGTCCGGCTCCAGTCGGACCTTCTGAGAAGGTGGGACTGAGGTGGGTGCCAGGAGGGTCCAAATGCCTTCTGACGAGGTACTTACTTGGAGCCCTACAGGGGACAATTCTTTGGTGGGCCTTATAAGACCCCCTCAAAAAGGCCACGCTGAATCCTCATCCAGCGGCGCGCTGGGGACGCGGGACGGGCTCAAACTTGGCATCCTGAAACTCCTGGCGATTTCGGTCGTGCAGCGCACGAAACCAAGGCGATGGAGAAGTCTTCTTCCCGAGCCCAACTGGTTCCGGTTTCCGCGGTACGGGTGGAGTCCCTCCACAAAAACCGATCGGTGTTCTTTTTTTTGGATCTCTGAAGGTCCGAATATGAACCCCATCTCCCAAAAAAACGAGCAGGTTCCTATTGGGGTGTTGGAATGTTTTGGATGTCACATGAGCTCCACCTGATCTATCTACTGCAGGATGACTAGAAGATCAACTGGGAGGGTTTCTGTGTCAGATGTGTCAAATCCAATCTTCGCGGTGTTCTCGATGCAGGCTGATTCTGAACCCTCCCTGAGAAAGCATACGTAGTGGCACTCAAAAGGTTCCGAAGTGCCCAAGACCCACCCAATCGCCGGTCGCAAACAATACCAGAAATTGGCCATGGTCCCAGGTGGTCCGCAAATAGATAGTGGCACGGTGTCCAAGACATTCTTAGTGGGGATCTACTTTTCTATCTATTTGAGGGTCTTGATGCCAATGCTACAAACCAAAAGAGACGGAACAAACAAAACAAAACTCTCTCTCGCTGTGACAGCTCTCTCGGGTGTCCATGGAAGGCTACGAAGGGTCGTCAAATGCATTTGGAGTAGTTGGTTTATTCGACGCGATTGGCATGGACCTCCAAGTACTAAGCACCCCAAGGCGCCCTCTTTTTGTAGGTGACATGTCAAAGCCCCATGTGGGGAAGGAAGCAGTGACAGTGAACATGTTCACCGAACATGAGACCCAACTGCGGAGGTCACCCTTGCATGTCTGGCCAGGGGAGGATCTCATGATTAGAGTTCAAAACTGCTCCTTCAAGGTCTTATCGTCATTCAGCACGATCGCATTGCCTGGAGCCATCAAGCATTCCGTGAGAAAACAAAAGCGTAAAAACCGCCTGATTCCGGGCACGCGGACGCAGTAGATGGTGGGTTCTAAGGCCTCTTGGAACACCTCTCACCCACATTACAAGGCTACCTTTCCATTGTAATGCTCTGTCGCCCTATCAGCAATCAGCAGTGTAGAACATAAGAACCTAAACGGATCTAACATCCAAAAGGTAACCGTCATTATATAAACGTCAGTGATGAAAGTGGGGCTAGCTGCGGTTTTGTGGATGCAAAATGTTTAAACCTCCTCAGAGTTCTCTGGCAAAACCAAGGGATGTTGTCCTTCACGGTCGTTGTCCTTCACCCAACCACGCGCCGATTCTGAGGCTCCGAGGCGCCAAGGCCGGCTCTAAGATCTGAAGGTTTAAGCCCACTAGAACGACCAACAGAGGTTGAAGAACTCTATAGAGAATATCCTATTCACGGGATATATGTAATAGGACCCGGAAGAACTCTATTGAGAACTCTATATGTAATAGGTTGTTTACTCCAGGTTTTCCGGGTCCTATTTACGGTCACTGAATACGGTCACTCTTGGGATCGGACATGATATGGACATCTGGTGGACCCAAGGCAGTAGTACCGACCCACAGTCCCTACCGATCCATACTGGATGCCGGTCCGCTGCCGAGTTGCTTCCAGCATTCTCACGCGTCCAACAATGTTGCGCCACCTCGGACCAAAGCTGAACTCGGTGCGATGGGCTTTCCACCGGATGGAGACCTGGTGGCTGAAAAATGGGTTTGGAGACTTGGGGGTCAAAAATGCTCAAGTCGTTTTCAGCCCTGTTGTGAGCTGCAACTTCCAGGGTCACATTGGGCTGGATAAGGTTCTTCCACTTCCACTTCCCATGTCCACAAATGCATCTTAAGCTTGATTCCAGTACATCATCTCCTTCTTCTAGTTCCTCCCAACCGCCTGGGACGAGGTTCCAGTCACCAGTCGGTTTCCACGGGCCGATGGCACGAAGTGACCACTTGATTGATGGATGTCATGAGCTGGCAAGCCAGCACACAACTCTGAAGGCCGAACTAGGTTGGATTGACGTGGAGGCAACTGGAACCTCACAACCAGAAGAAGATAGACCCAGAAGGAGAAGAAATTTCCTTGACAAACAGGTGGTTTCCCACTTCCACGATGATTTCAGGGAGTTAAGATTTGGACTTCACATGACTTCATAGGTTAGTTTGTGGTTAATAAACAGTTGCTCGGTAGAGTGATGTCTCCTGAAATGACCCCAAGGCAAACTTTTTTAAAATGTGTGAAAGCATCGACCCAGGTGACGAAACATGGGCACAAACACACAAACCCCTCCTCCAGGAACCCAACAAATCCAACAACCCAACACGACCTCCAATGCCCCAGCCATCTGGTTTGGGGTACTCCTACCCAAACTCCATTGATTATTTTGGACATTGTTCCCATATACTGCACATACCTGCACATCTGTGGCTGAAAATAATCCAACAGTCCTCCAGGAGGTGAGCTAATTGATAGCGATCCAGGAAGCTGGAAGGCTGCCAACAAAAAATCAAGGTACCCAATCCAAATACAGTAATCCAAACTACAGTATATAATCCAACCATGTGATCCACATTGGTATGGTAACAGTGGATTGTGGTCGAGCCCCTGCAAAAGATTCTCTAGCTCTTGCCTAGCTGGATGAAGAGGAATCTGAGCATATGCTACGCTAGACCCATCCAGGCTTCTTCCTGAACCTTAATCCCAACAAATAATCCACCAGTCCACCACGTGACCCCAGACTGTGGATTAATATCCCAAGGCAAACGCTGTCAGCGGAGTACGTCGCCACAACTCGATCACGACACCGGTGTTTTCAACATCGACGCAGACCGACGAAGACCGCTGACGCAAACGTCACCAATCACACATAACTCACCTAAATCCAGGAACCAGCAGGAACCAGCCTTCAGTGAAGTTCCCCTGTGATTCATTCCCGGCACCGGGCATGCCCGGCTTGAAAAAAAAAAAAACGTAGGGGCATGGTGAAATAAACAATTGCCCGCTTTCGCCCACCAGGCCCTTCATCCTTCATACTCGAAAGCACACCGTAATCCACGCGCGCCGGGTGCAATCCACACACGCCGGGTGGCATAATCGTTATAGCTGGCGCTGTTCTTAAACGCAGATGGAGGGAACTCGGTCCACTTCTTCTGGAAGACTGACGGCCGTGGCTCGGCTGCCTCCGGGACCTGGCAACACCGGCCCTCCGAGAACCTGGAGAGGTGGGAAGTCTGATCCAGTAGAACCTGGTCCTGGTCCTCCTCATTGAGTGGTGGCTTTTTGTGTGACCAACTCCAGCAAAATGAGGTCAAACTGGCCTCATTAGGGGTGGTATATGACTCTTGTTTCTTGAATATGCAACTTGCAAGTCGAAATGTCGGTGTTCTCTGCACAAAAACTTTATAGCGGAGAGTATGTAAACACAAAAAAGAATTGAACACCGAACAGGGTAGCCTTGGCCTCCACTCCATCTATATTGAAGTCATGCAAACACTCCAAACCCTTCAAATCAATGGATCAACTGTTGAGAAAGCGTGTGCTGCATCTGGCTTGGTGGCGAAAATAGGTGCGGGTGCGCTCGCTAAATTAAAGGTTGACTTATAACTTGGGGTTGTAGCTATCTCTTAAACTTGCATATAAGCAACACGCCTTCGTTCTAACTTCCACAACCTCTATATATATATGTTAGGTTAGGTGAGACTTAGAACTGACTGACAAACTGTTCTACAGGTGAGTTAGCTTGGGCCTAAGTCAAAATTAGCTTCCAGTCAGTCTTGACTTGTCAGCCAAAGCTAAGCCAAAGCTAGTGAATGCTAAGTCTAAACTAAGTCTCTAAGTTTACGCTAAGTCCAAGATAACTCCAAACTAAATATAGAGTTTTCTTTGTTGTATGTACGTCAGCCAGTAAGGCACAACCCAGTACAAAGGCACAAACGGGCACAAAAATTTTGTGATGTTGCGTGTGGCACCGCAAAGCGCAGCATTTGTTCGGATATTTGTAACAACGCATGACTGTCACGCTCTTATTTTCTTTAGGTGCCGTTTCATGTCTTGGTTGTGTTCACTGGTTGACCACAATCTTGGAGCACTACGTCACGTTCCCACACTTAAAATGAAGGCAATTCTGAAAACTTAGATTCTGATCTGAAATTTTTGAACCTGTTTCATGTTTAAAAGGACCAACCACAAACAATAAGGTTCAATACACATTTTAAAAAGTGGCGGATTGTTTTTGGCTTCGAGTGCCTGCATTTCACAAATATGATGCTTGGGAAAAGAAGCCGCTCTTTGTGCAAAGCGTGAATGCATCAAGCATTTACCACCCACATAGCCTCAAAAAAACACGTGTGGTGGATTTTGCTACTCTGTACGAATGCAATATTCTTTGAATGGATCAAGGGACTTGCTTCAGATGATGTTGTGTGCTGATATTCTAAATGTACCCAATCCAAACAATATTTTTGAGATTAGCAAATTTCAGAGTCTTACTTTTCAGCAGTATGTCCAAGCTAGAGGTCACAATGCACATCATATATGATGCACAGTAACTCGTTCATATATATATATATAGAGGGAGAGAGGTAAGTACCCAAGAAGGAAGGCAAGTTGGGGTCTTCCATTTTCATTCTTGTTCTGCCTTCACATCCCTCCAAACATCACGGAACCGGCAAGGGCACGAAGCCCAGCCGTGTTTTGATTCACCCAGTTCCAACTGACTCACCCAGTTCCAACTAACTCACCCAGTTTCAACGCATCTCCTCCCACCAGCTCCTCTCGTTCCTGCTTGCCGTCGGGCGTCCGGCGTGGGACCGCGCGGTCCGACCCCACCCACGCGGTCCCGCGCATCGGGCGTGAGGTGGTCGCGATGGGCGGAGCCCCAAGTGGTCAGGACGTTCAAAAGCTCGGGCACCTAGGAGGCCCGAGCAGAGGTGCTGGGCCAGCACGAGGCAAGCGGCGAGGACCGACTGTTTGGGGACCGGAGAAGAGGAGAACTGGGCTAAAGACGAAGTGGCAGTCCAAGGAAGAGGCTATTACAAGTCACTGATATGGATTCTGGGCGCAGAATCCACGTACCTGCTTGGTTGCGGCGTTTACAAGCTTTCACTCCAATCTTCTGGTAAAGGGCTAGTGAGTTCTGCAGATGTGCACGAACGCCGTCATCTTGTCGCTCCGCACTCGTGGATTTGGAGCTTGCGTTTTGGGCCTCATTTCCGTTTGAAGAGCCCGAGCTTCCGTTGGGTTTTACCTGTACTCTTAGGAAATGGTAACCTAGGCCGGCGTGCGGCACCGCATTCACATCAGTACGCATTTCTATAAGTGTGTGTGTGTACCCCTTGTAGTCGCAGGGATTCATTTGAAGTTTGAAGGATGACACTCACAAATCTTGAAGTGTACCACGATGTTGGTTAAAGGAATGACACGCACATGTCTTGAAGTGTTTCACGATGTTGCAGTGCAACCTTTGGAGTCACAATCCAGTTCTTTTTTTTTTGCTGCCTTGTCTCTTGTGGGCCCTCTAACCTATTGCGCAGGCCTCCAACCTTGTCGCTATGGCCTCTTCCTATTTGTGGTGCCCTTCTAGTAGTTTATATGCCGGTTGCCCCTATAGGGCCGGCGCGTCCGCTCTGCTCGACTGGATGCATTCCTATCCAGTCTGCAGAGTTGGGGAACATCACCTTCATATAATTCTCCATGAATGCCACAAGACTGTTGTAATTCGCAACAGCTTGCGAAACGTTCCGTCGAACGGGTGTTTGTCCCCTGTGGACCCGTCGAACGGGTGTTTGTCCTTATCCCCTGCTCGGAGATGTACGTGCCCGAGCGGGCGTAGGTGGCCTAGGCCGAGACAACTCCAACTTATGTCTCATTTCGTGAATTCCAAGCTGGCTCATGCCTTTACGTGACCGCAGCGGTCAAAGGTGGCAGCCTTCGGGCAGGCCGTACGTGGTCGCAGCGACCAAAGCTGGCTCAAGGTTCATTGGAACCTGTCCCATTCTTAGGTGCACACACAGCGTATACATGCAAAAGGCGCGAGGTCTTCCTAGGTGTTTCTAATGAGGTTCGGCTTCATCGGTTCTCGTCCCCTCCATTTGGTTCCCTTTTTACACACCTTTGGCTTCCTCTTTTCTTTCATGTCCTCCTGTCTTCATGTCTGGTCATCTGATCCTTTTCTTCGTTTGCGCGCACATTGGTCCCGGCCTTAGTGTGTACGCGCACTTCGACGTAAACACTTTAAACATAGGTTTCAGGTCGCCCAGGTCTTTACAATGAGGTGGAGTTCATCGGTTGTCCCTGTGCACTTGGCAGTTGGTTTCTCTTTCATTGCCGCCACACACCTTTTTGTCCCGTCTTGTCCTCCTTCTCATGTCACGTCTTCATCCTTTTGTCTTTGCCGCGCGCACATTTACACAACCGTCCTATAGCCTTAATTCTTTTTGCCTCCCCTCGGGGAGGCGTGTATGTGTGCCCCTTGTAGTCACAGGGATCCACTCGGATTGTGTTTTTGTTTTCTTTGATTCAGCGGGGGGAAAGCCTGGCTTGTAACAGTGGCAGTCCAACGAAGAGGCTGTGACAAGTCACTGATATGGATTCTGGACGCACAATCCACGTACCTGCTTGGTTGCGGCGTTTACAAGCTTTCACTCCAATCTTCTGGTAAAGGGCTAGTGCGTTCTGCAGATGTGCACGAACGCCGTCATCTTGTCGCTCCGCACTCGTCGATTTGGTGCTTGCGTTTTGGGCCTCATTTCCGTTTGAAGACACCCAGTTTCCGTTGGGTTTTACCTGTACTCTTAGGAAATGGTAACCTAGGCCGGCGTGTGGCACCGCATTCACATCAGTACGCCTTTCTATAAGTGTGTGTGTGTGTACCCCTTGTAGTCACAGGGAGTCATTTGAAGTTTGAAGGATGACACTCACAAATCTTGAAAGTGTACCACGATGTTGGTTAAAGGAATGACACGCACATATCTTGAAGTGTTTCACGATGTTGCAGTGCAACCGTTGGAGTCACAATCCTTTTTTTGGGTTTTGACTTGTTTTTTGCTGCCTTGTGTCTTGTGGGCCCTCTAACCCATTGCGCAGGCCTCCAACCTTGTCGCCATGGCCTATTCCTATTGGTGGTGCCCTTCTAGTAGTTTATATGCCGGTTGCCCTTAGGGCCGGCGCGTCCGCTCTGCTCGACTGGATAGTCTGCAGAGTTGGGGAACATCACCTTCATATAATTCTCCATGAATGCCACAAGACTGTTGTAATTCGCAGCAGCTTGGGAAACGTTCCGTTGCACAGCACCAGGTCCAGTTGTAAAGCACAATAGCTGTGTCACAAGCTTTGATGCAGCATCATCAGTCTCGGCTTCGTCGCCAAGAAATGTGGCAACTTCAATGCATAATGACGATCCCATAACTTTGGGCGCAAAGCATCTGCAATAGTTGCAACAATTGGATCTGCTCTTGTGAGTGGCAATTCTTGCTTGCTGGCCAAACGGCGCATTGCCGTGTGAATGCGTGCTTGAGAAGGAGGGATGTTTGGGACATATGTAATGTCCTGAATTGACCCAATGACCGTGTAAATCATCATCGCAGTTGCACATGCTGCAGCACCATCCAATTGGCGTATCACATTATAGTAAATGCCAGGTGGGCACAGATGCTTGCTGCAAACTTGCTTGCTGTAAACATGCTTGCTGTAAACTTGGTACTTTGGCCTCCAAACTTGGGCGATGGCCTCCAACTTCTAGCGATGGCCTCTAATTTAACTTTACCTTTACTTGCCCTGTTTCCTAAGGTTTGTTCACTTAGGCTGGCGTGTGGCACCGCTGTCAAGTCAGTACGCATATCCATAAGTGTGTCTCTCCTAGTGAGAGTCCGGGATGAGGCCGTAGAGTGCCTCCCGTGGACCCGTCGAACGGGGGTTAGTCTTTATCTCCCCTGCCTGGAGATGTACGTGCCCAGAGCGGGCGACGGTGGCCTAGGCCGAGAGAAGTCAGACTTTTGTCTCATCTTTGGAATTCCAAGCTGGCTCATGCCTTTACGTGACCGCAGCGACCGAAGCTTGTTTAAGGTTCACTGGAACCTGTGGAGAACTTCTTCCTGAGTGAAATACTCAGGGTCACCCCTCTCTTTCTTTGGTGGGTCCCTGGACGCTTGTTCGTAGCTGGGAACACCTGCCTTTTCCTTTTCTCTCCTCTCCCTTTCTCTCCCTCTCTCTTTCTTTCCTTCTTTCTTTCCTCTCTTCACCTTCCTTCCTCCTTGGGTGTCCCTGGATGCTTTTGTCATAGCTGGGAACCCTTCTCCTCTCTTCCTTTGGTGTGTCCTTGGACGTATGCGTCGTAGCTGGGAACACCTTCCTTTCTTCTCTTTCCTTTTTCTCGTCTCTCCCTACCCCTCCCTCCTGTCGGGACCTTAGCTTGGGATGCTACTAGGGGCTCCTGGCCTTCCTACTAGGTGCTAGGACGTTACTTTGACGCTACTAGAGGTTCCTGGCCTTACTACTTTGTCCGCACCTTCAATACGCCTCCCCTCGGGGAGGCGTGTGTGTGTACCCCTTGTAGTCACAGGGATTCATTTGAAGTTTGAAGGATGACACTCACAAACCTTGAAGTGTACCACGATGTTGCAGTTTAAAGGAATGACACGCACAAATCTTGAAGTGTTTCACGATGTTGCAGTGCAACCTTTGGAGTCACAATCCAGTTTCTTTTTTTTTGGCTGCCTTGTGTCTTGTGGGCCCTCTAACCTATTGCGCAGGCCTCCAACCTTGTCGCTATGGCCTCTTCTTATTTGTGGTGCCCTTCTAGTAGTTTATATTCCGGTTGCCCTTAGGGCCGGCGCGTCCGCTCTGCTCGACTGGATGCATTCCTATCCAGTCTGCAGAGTTGGGGAACATCACCTTCATATAATCCTCCATGAATGCCACAAGACTAAAGCACAATAGCTGTGTCACAAGCTTTGATGCAGCATCATCAGTCTCGGCTTCGTCGCCAAGAAATGTGGCAACTTCAATGCATAATGACGATCCCATAACTTTGGGCGCAAAGCATCTGCAATAGTTGCAACAATTGGATCTGCTCTTGTGAGTGGCAATTCTTGCTTGCTGGCCAAACGGCGCATTGCCGTGTGAATGCGTGCTTGAGAAGGAGGGATGTTTGGGACATATGTAATGTCCTGAATTGACCCAATGACCGTGTAAATCATCATCGCAGTTGCACATGCTGCAGCACCATCCAATTGGCGTATCACATTATAGTAAATGCCAGGTGGGCACAGATGCTGGCTGCAAACTTGCTTGCTGTAAACATGCTTGCTGTAAACTTGGTACTTTGGCCTCCAAACTTGGGCGATGGCCTCCAACTTCCAGCGATGGCCTCTAATTTAACTTTACCTTTACTTGCCCTGTTTCCTAAGGTTTGTTCACTTAGGCTGGCGTGTGGCACCGCTGTCAAGTCAGTACGCATATCCATAAGTGTGTGTCACACTCTGTCTCTAAGAGTTCTAAGAGTTCTTGGTTATTGCAAAGCAGGGGGCCATCCCCCTCCCCAGTGGCGGATGGCCAACGAAGAGGCCACTGGGAGGGCTGCAAACGTACCTGCTGAACTGTTGCACAAGCTGTTCTCCTTCCGGTTTGTTTCTCATGGTGGTTCTCATGCTATTCCCGTAAGCCTTCCCTTTTTATCTGCTAAGTATTCAGTAAAGTGCTAACCCGTCAACACTGTTCAACATTTCAGTTAAGCCGACTTTGCGCCTTTTCGTTCCTTCATCCATTTCACTGTGGATTATGGAACTGCAAACCCTGTGACTAAGTGTGTGTTGGTTTAAGTTTGGAACATGAATGGGCTGGACAGTTGACACATGTGGGAGTCTTGCGACCTTTATGTGTCCATATACTATGTTGACATATTTTTGGAAGGTTCAGAAATGGGAACTGGGCTTTGAAAGCTCATGAGGCTATTTGCTCTCATTTGTGTTGATATCCGAGAAGGCAAGACTTATATACATATAGTATATAACTATATAACTAACTCTATATATATAGTATAGTTGTTGTTTATGTGATGCTTCATATCAAGAAGGATGTGTGATGTCATACAATTGTTCGAGACAGCTTGTATGGCATCATCTGCATCAGTTCTGCAAAAAGCCTCGCGAGAAAAATACAAACAACTAAAAAGGGTAATCACATAGTAGTCATTAGTCATGAACAAAAGTAGGCATGGTATTCGTTCGGAAGTCTGCACCAATTGCCATATCATTTGTATACGACATGGAGACGTTGCCTTGGTCACCCACGCAATGTGGTTTTACTGGGTCTGGCTCGCTGGCATCGCTCGAAACTGAATGCACATTATTTGCAAAGGTCTCAAGCAAGAACCAACATCAAGAATGGCTACCTGACGGTGCGAGCAAACCATCTGCAGCATCATGGAATTCCATGGGATTCCAGAACCTCCGGACATCTGGGCAACAAAATACTCTGCGTCGTCAAGAACCAATCCCCGTGATATCATATCCCAGGATAAAGATATACCTAAACTTTAGGTCAAAACCTATGTGGCCTCATCTGGCCTCCAGTCTCTGCACCCCTCTTTGGAGCATATGATCATTTTGGATGCTCTGTGCGGTCTCGGGGGGATGAAAGTCGTACGAAATCTGGGCTCTCCGCCAGCCTCTCCCGGATTCCCAAGCCAAGCAGTGAAACTTGTCTCACTGTGGTGAATTTTAAGGTCGTTGGAGTCCTACTGCCCAATCAAATCACAATGCCAAGCCCCCTTTGTCATCTTCATCTTCAAAACTCATCGGTCCAGGCACACCCAGTACTCATCCCCAACCCCCTACCGCTTCCCACCGTCAACTAGAAAACCCCCAGGTCCCTCGCCCACAATTCATCCAGCACGCCGAGATTTTCATCGTGGTGGACATGCAAAGGCTGGGGCCTCCTTCATCCATCTCCACCGTGAGGCCATCGCAGAACAACTGGAGCCGATGAAACGGCGGAAACACGTCCGGGCACGAGCGGGACAGCGGGATCGGCATCACCAGGCTCGATCGGGTTCCCGCATGGAATAGGATCTTTCCAAGGCTTTTTTTGTGGAGGGAGGGAGGGAAAACACGAAGAGCCACCAGCTCTGGCCATGAGACACCTCAAACACCATCAACCGTTACAGTAAAAGTTATTTGTTAAAGGGAAAGCATCTACAGTACTTTTTGATCATGTTCACTGAAATGGGTCTGGAACTTTCCCGCGTGCGGTCCGACCATTGTTCCGAACTGCGTCTGTAAAGGTTCATACATGATCCAGTACACATTGTCATTCAAAAGGGTTCATCTTTCGCTCTTTACTCCTAGAGTTTCCACATACTTCTAAATCTTACAACCCTCGCATCCGCTCTGTGTTCGCAGTGCCGGAATTCCAGGAACCTTTAGTTTGGGTCTTATATATATATATATATAAACTCAATCTTACTCATCTATACTTTTCTATACTTTTCTTGCTTTTGTGGACACCTCATGAAAACGGCCTCTTAAACCACCAAGACCTGAAACTCATGAAGCAAAAACATCCTCCAAATGCATCTAAACGGGCCATCTTACGGCCAAACCATCGCCTCACCCCAGCCTGCACTGGCAAATGCATGGGGGCTCCGCCGCGAACATGTGATGTGTTCGGCCTGCTGTCTTCGGCCTCGGACGTGCTTCGGTTCCACCCATGGAGGTGGTTCCCGAGCGGTCCGACGTCTGAATTCTTCTCAAAATCTGGGCTGGCTCGTCTTGGAAAAGGAAGTGTCATGAAGTGTCAGTAGTTTGAGTCTGTTTGACCCTGATTGGGCACTCCAAAACAAGAGCTTGACCGATCTTCGCCATCCGATCGCGGTCTCGCGATGTCTCGGGTCGACCCGATGTTGCGGAGCCAAGGGAGAGGGAGACCCGATGGCATCTGATCCAGTGAAATCCACTACAGTGGATGGAGAGTAGATGGCACAATCACCCAGTTTGGTGGTTTATATGGACCCCCCATCTGTCTAAGACATCTTGGGGTTTGTGCCATCTACTCTGAAATCCACTGTAAGAACTGACAGAGGTTTGACTGCTGTGATACTATGATGAACTCAAACCTGGGTGTGATGTTTCTTATGTTGTTAAAGGAAGATAGCGGTAGCCACAAGCATGAATTGTTTCAGAAATATGTCCAACCGTATCCGCTCTATCGGCTGCAGGCCAGTTGTATGATGAATCGTTATCAAACCAACTGTGACCCTTTCATGTGTGATCTTACAACAATCAACGAATCAATTCAATACCATTGTATCTCGTGTTACCCATCGAGGTAGGACTTTGTAGGGTTCCAGCAGACCAAACATCAAAATCACAAACTGAGGGCCATCATGATTCCATCCACCCCCAGGATTCCATCACAAGCTGAGGGCCATCATGATTCCTTCACCCCAAGTTCAGGTTGGGTGCCTTTATTTCCGAAAAGAAGAAGTGAGGTGCCCAGAAGTTCTCCTGGAGGTGCCCAGAAGTGCTACTCACTGGATCGGACCCAAACACCATCCCGTTGGAACGTGCCCTGCAAGTGCCCCTCTTTCTGGGTTGAAAAAAGCCGTTCATTTTCGCCTCAGGGGAAGGGCTCCATGAATTCTGTGAAGGACTTGTTCTCCAGTTCTCCTCTGATGCCAGACTCTAACTCTTCTGATTGGCCCATTGACATCCATTGACCCATTTGAGTGGGCCAAGATTTGCTCCCAACCAGGGATTTCGCTTGGTGGGTCCTTTTCGTTCTCCTTCAACATGCGCCCAAGCAGCCAGCCAGGCAGCGGGCGAACAACCGGAAGTCACTTGAGCCAAACAAATCGCGCGAAATCAATCATCTCACCCAAGGAGGCGAAGAATGAGGTACTGGAGGGATCATTAAACAACACACTAAAACACATCAAAACACAAATATCTCTGAGGTTTTCAGGACCGGACCCGGGACCAACTGGATTCCTTTTTCCATCATAGATGCCCTGTCCAGGGCTGAACGGTGACCTTCTGTGACCAGACCCGGCGTGGAGGGCAGTCCGTTCGGGCCGAAACGGCACTCGTGTCCCGTTGGGTTCAGACCGAGCTACGGTTGAAGCGGTTCCGTTCGGTTCGTCCATTGAATCTCGTCCACAAGGGCCGGACCGTGTTGAAGCCTTCTGGCCGGACCTCAAAACCTCGATTTGGGCTGTCTGTAATGGAAAAACTTCCCATGTTGCACTACCCACATGCACATCCAACATGAGCATGGCCTCTGCCCAACTAAACTCACCAGATCAAAACGTCAAACATCTGAAACTTCTGTCCAACTAGGGGTGATCCACGTTTTTCAAGTGCTTAGGCCCTAGGCATGGGAAATAAACCTTGGTTCCCCCAGTAGAACGGCCCAGGCCACTGACCTGGCGCTTGGTTGAAACCTTTCAACACCTTTCACCCTTCATCAACAACTCCAACCTACTAGGAATGGTCTCCAACCTGAGAGCCATGGCCTCCCACTTGAGAGCGATGGCCACAAAAGCTCCACAAAACCTGGCCTTTCCGGCGGCTTCCCACGCGCAGCTCGGATCACTCGGCCGATGGCAGGATCCCGCCTCAGGTTGAGAAGGGGATCAGGTCATTTTAGCACGTCATTGACGTGGGCAGGCGGTTCTGATTTGCTTGGGTACAAGTTTGCTAGGAGGAAAGTCTATGAGGATTAGCACGCAAACACGTCGTAAGATGTTTATGTATGGCATATAAGATGTCTCTGTATGGCATATTTCATCACATTTACAGATCAGTTGGGGTGGGTAAAGGAGGGGTCGATTGTTAGAACTATCATGCAGTCACTTGAATTGGCTTCTGGGATTGGTATCTGGCAGGCCCTTTTTTGTGTGTGTGGACATTTCAATCACATTGGTGACATGGTGGTGTCTTACATCTTTTTCACTACAACATCTTAAATTTCTTACCATTACATCGTGATTACATCTTGTTCTTACATTTCTTACATCTTTTGATTATATCTTTTTCATGGTGAATGTATGTGGAATATCCACTACAACGCTAGTCACACTGATCTTCGGTCCTTCCACCCCTACGCCTAGTCGTCAAGCCGTTGCCCCATGTCTATGTTTCATGAACGAGAGGCCGGGCGTCGTGGGAGTGAATCTCCCAGAAGAAAGTTACTAGTAGCTTCCTGTTTCTGCTAGTAAGGCCAGGAGCCCCTCCTAGT